CCAGTTTGACGCTATGAAGCTGGCCAGAATCTGCCTGCGCCGTAAACAATCGTCTTCCACTGCAAAGAGAGAAATGTCGATCTGAACAAGGCGGCTGATAATTAAAATCACTTCCAAATGAAATATTCCAACATGGACTGAACGGCTTCATTCACTTCCAGACTACAGTTCTAAAACAGCACAAAAAATCAACACCGCAACTACTTCTTCTGTTTGCTGACTGGTCCGATCGAAACTCTGCTGGAGGAATCAAAGTCAATGGGAGAAAGGCCAGACTTAGCTGTGAAGCACGATTTGAATCAAGTGGATTTGCAGCCAGTGGCCAGATGACATTAAAATCACTGGATCTCAGAAAACTTTGATTCTGTGAATAATAAAAAAATATATATACAAGTCATGTTAGCAGCCAACAGATCTGCAAAAAAGAACATTTAAAACAAGCAGCTTCCAGCTGTTGACTATATGATAGTGCCATTTCAAACCTTTTCCTCATTGTGCATTGGATCTTTGTTAGTGCTGATGTGCTGTTTGATGTAATAAGGTGTTTTAGTTTAATTGCTTTATGAATGGATTATACATAAAATATCAAGACAGTTGAAAAACATCAGACAGTTAAATGAATTAACCCAATATTACCTAAATGGAAATATCAGATGTGCATGAGTTATTTGTGAGCTGGTTTCACATTCTGCAGGAAGAATGGGAGCTTGATGACTGATTTTGATCCATACAACATCAATATCCCTCTGGATGGCGGCATTGGGCCCAACTCTATCCATAACAGCTGGCGATCTCAGCTCTTTTCTTTTTTGATTTATTCCTTTTCTGTGTTAATTAATGGTTTAGAGGACTTTAAAGGCACTGCACTTTATTGCTATGCCATGATTTATTCATCCCATTTTTCACTACAAAGACTTGTCAGGGTTTTTTTTGTTTTGCTTTATTTTTTTAACAGTGTAACCTTGCCAACACTGTTGTCACATAAATTTTGGCAGAATGGTCCACAGGTCCGTTTTTATTTTCAACCCACCCATTGGTGCCAGTCCACTCCTTTACAGAGGAGGGAAACGCTTTTGTGCAATGCAGCGTTCGACTGCTGAGTGCAACTTCTGTCTCCCCATCTCACTCATTTTTTCCTTTCTCCCTGTATTTATTCAGGTGGATGAGGAGGTAATCAATTCTCACTGGGCTCTAAAAAGAGCTAGGGTCATGCTGCAGCTTTCTGCTCCAACTAATAAAACGGTTCGTATACTGGCTCCGCCTTTACAGTCGCCTTTTGGCAACCTCAAGTTGAAAGATTTTCTCTGGAGAGTTTCCAGAGGAAAAAACAGACAAACAAACAAAAAAAAACAACAACAAAAAAAAAACAAAACAAAGTAAATTAACTCATTTAAGATTCTTATATCACCAATTCTTTTAATTATAAATTTGGAAGTTTTACACAGGCAAAAAGCAAAGATTTAAGACCACTGGTGGTTTCAGAGACTAAATTTGAAACATATGCAGCCATTACAACCATTTCAGAGCCTTAAAACCTTTTATCCCCATTTGTGCAGCTCTCAGGCGGCTCACTCAGGCCTTTTCCAGAAGAGCAGATAAGGCCCATTAGAAACCGGAGCTGGCTAAGCATGAAGCATTTAATGTTTCTTCAGAGATAAGAAGGGAGAATCTGAATGCAAGAGACTAAAAAAAAAAGAGCATTTAAGCTGCGTCACTTGGCAAGTGCAGAAGGTGAATACATCGCTCTTTTCTCTGTTGCTTAGTAATTATTTAGGTACATGAGCTTTTTTTTTATAACACCTGCAACAATAAAACCACTGAAATCTAAAGTAAACAAGTTAAAAGGCAATTTCCTTATAATAAAACCTCCATGATGTTAAAGCTGTGCTGCTTTTAGGTCAGCAGGACACATTTAAAAAAATTAATTAGCATGAGTTTAAAACAAGAAAAAAATTCGTTTTTACTGGAAATTCTTCAGTGAAGAAGGTGCCATTCCATTTGCTAACAAAGAAGGACCATAGTGTGAATTAAAGTTCAAAGGGCAAATAATAGATCCATCAGTTTTTATAGTGTTTTGTGTTTGCAGAGTTCACATTCACAGACTGCAGTACTGAAAATGTATTTCAATTTCTTGACAGAGCATCCAGCTAAGAGGAAAAAAAAAAAAAAGATTTCAGTCCTGTCACAGACTACAACTGTGAGGATCCAGAACCTCTGTAAACAGAACAAGAGGCTGGTTTTTACCAAGCTGGTGTTTTGATATTTGGGCAGTAAGTTCAGAGTCATGTGAACAGAGCACCCTTCTTATATTTGCTGGTTTCAGGTAAAATTTAGCCGCAATTCTTTCATAAAGCTTGTCATGACTACGGGGTTTTCCATCCGAGTGGTGGATCTCAGCAAAAATAGATTTATGGTGAAATTAAATGGGACCTTTTACATCAATTAAATTACTCCTGAAGGAAACGGGTTACAAAATACTTTTAGGGATACTAAATTAAAGGGGGGCCTGCCACTTGCAAGTTAGACTTTTCAGATTTTTATTAATAAAAACTATTTTCAGTGTTTAATATGACAACAGTTCAAGAGGTGTGAGTCATTTTGCAAGATATTTTAGATTTGTCCTGGCTGAGTGGAGCTTAACCCCATAAAGCAATCCCAAGCACACAGTTTGAGTGGATCACAAAAAGAAAGCAAGTAAAAGTTATTTAAGAATACCAACAGATTGCCCGAAATCTTTTCGTCAAATGGCCGACCATCTGCCTCAACCGTCTGGAGAGAAATACACCCCACAAAAAAAATTATATGAAATTATGATGCCAAGCTAGAACTAAGAGTTTGCTGAAACAGAAAGAAGCCTTGGCTTAGACCAGGTCTGGGACTCGGCTAAAGAGACCAATGACAACCTGAACGAGAAGATATTAATTCTCCTCCTTGACAGCCAATGTCCATGTTTTAAACTTCTCTCTGCTTAAACTCACCGATTTAAGAGGAAGGTCAACTGAAAACACATGATGCTGCACTGATGTAAAGTTAAACCAGGAGGGAAGAAACCTGAATCCATCACTTCTAAATCTTCTGTTTATTTTAGGATGGTCAGTCACATTGCGAAGGCACGCCAAAAGAACTAAATTTAAAAATGGTCTCATTAACTGAATCCATTAAGGGACTTTTCAGTCTGGCTGAATCCATTATCACGACTCAACTCTGGCCAATTGGCATTGGATCTTGCTCAAATCAGCAGGTATAAATTCTTTATGTTAATCTAATTCATACAATATGGATGGGGATAATGAGACCTAAAAAATAAAGACTCAAAGAAACCTATTGTAATATGACCAGTGTAGTTTGTCAAGGGGGGAAAACTCCAATGTGTGTAGATAAACCGTCTCGATAGACTGCAGTTCCTCAATTTCAGAATGCACCAAAACAAAATCAATCATCTACTGCCATGAATGACAAATATGATGCAATGATGTGGCTGTGGAAAAAAAGAAGCCGTGTCTGCAATTCACCAACATGCCCATAATGAGACTCTGGGTAAGAGAAGGAGATTGAGGGACGGATAGTACGAATGAGCTTCAGAAGAAGAAAAGAAAAGAGCACGAGTGATACAATAGAAGAACAAGACAGACACTGGACTGATTGATTAAACAAAGGGTGTTCATTAGAGAGAAACTAGGTGTGTAAAAGGATCAGTGCATGCGCTTAGTGTGTCTGAGTGCAGCTGAATGGCCTGCAGCTAAAAGACAGATAAAGACAGAGCTGCAGGATAGAGATATACACACAAATACTCCACATGTGAATGAAGGAGGTGTGGCTGTGGAGCAGCTGCTATATTTAGCTTATTGGGGGAACACTGGAATGGCACATTGCTGCTCTCCAGCTGCTACTCACAATCTAAACCACTGCAGCAGAAACTTGACGTGCCATTATTTTTACTGCAGCTTAAACAACGGGAGAATTAGATTCCAGCCAGAAAACACACATCATTACTTTCACACTGTGGGAACACGCTCTGTATGCATTGTACCGTATGTCGTTGGAGCTGTATATGGATGCACTGCTTCTGCTCAGCCAGGCAAAGGTTGTCCGGGACTCAAGTTTATTAGATGCAGAGGGAAATATTATATTCTGCCGGAGGCATTTCAAATATCTGCAGTTGGACTCGAAGTAACAGAAAGAACATTGTGTTTAAAAGTAAGGACAACAAATCGACAATTCTGCTGCAAGATCGCATCTGAAATTGCCCATTATACCTGCATGACACATTAGTGCAAGAATTTCAAATCATAATTTACATAAATTTGCACAAATTGTGCTAGAAATTCAGAAGCAAAAATAAAATCAGTATTTGAAACATCACAAGGAGGTTAGATGAATTTAAATTATTTTAAAAGTTTTGCTATTTTTCCATCACAAAATAATATATTAAATGAGCATATTAAATCAATATATGTCCAAGTTAAGATAGGCATTTTAAATTTCCAAAAACAAAATGACCTACCTAAATAATTAGCTCATTTGAGGCGGTTTTGCAAGGCTTTTATACCTGCACCATTTAATGGTGCAGGTATAAAGATATAAGGTTTTAGAAGGTAAGGTTTTAGTTATAAGGTTTTAGAAGGTAAAGAGATCATAAGGTTTTAAAGTCATTAGAAACTACAATTGCTTGAATGCCAGAACAGGAGAAACTTTTCAATAAAACATAACCAAGTGGCCAAAGCCAAAGCTTTATTATTGTGCCATCTTTCTGGGATATTTTGTGAACTTTTACATAATGATTGGCTTTTATTTAATGTTTCCACACACCAGTCAACTCTTAATGAAGAGGAGTTTAAAGCTGAAATAACTGTGTGGAGTTTAAATAAACATCAATGTCTTCTGAGAGTACCGTATGTATACCGTATATTTACTGTGAAACTGTGTTATCTGGAGTTTATATGGAAAATATCTCCCCTCAGTTGAAGTCTAGACAGATGCCAGTCATTCCTCATTCCTACCCTTTTGGTGAAATCCATTGCTCTGAGGATGGAAAGGTTCAGCGTTTCCAATGAGGCCAGAACTCCTTCATAGTCTCCCATGTGCTTGGCAAAGTAGTCTGTTTTGCACATACAAACATTTACAAAGCATTTAGAGGCACACACCACTTGTCAGGGGCAACTTTAAAGAATGAATTTTAATTGAAAAGTTTGTTTTAAATATGAGAACTTGCAGATTACTTACCACAGAGTTCCTTCGTGTCTACATTACTATGACAGCAAGCAGGAAGGTGAGGAAAATGGGAAGAAAGGAAAGGATAAAGAAGAGCAGGGTCAGAAACAAAGGACAGGTTTTTAGCATGCAGTCGTACATAGATCTATAGAAAATAAAGAGTAGGAGTGGAAGGAGAGAAATTCAAGAATGCTCTGATGGTCGTCTGAGATGTACAGCCATTACTCAGCTCAAAGGATGGAACCTGTTGTGGGAGTAAATGTTTTACTGCTACAAACTAGAATTTCTCTGAGTGATAGGAGGAGGATGGTATGGCAAGTCATCCTGCACAAGAATTGGTGTCTTAGTCCAGAATATCTCCAGTTTGATTTGGGCTGATTGAGCTGCAAACCTCTACATCAGTACAAAATCCAGAGAGCCATTGATCCATTCATCAATTATCTTACACGGTCATCACTCGTGGGGTTCCCAGGGGCGCTGGTGCCTACCTCCAGCGGTCAACAGGACAGAGGCAGGGTACAGGTCATTCCAGAGAGCACAAAATGCAATTTTTACACTCCTTGAAAAGGTTAAATTACTATTGAAACTGAGAGTTTCACATTTTCTCATAGTTCAGTCTGAGTAAAAGATCAATCTTTTTTGCACAACCATCACCACTATAACTGACTACGTGGTTTGGCGAGATCCTTGGATTAATCTCATCTGGGCCGATCACTAGGAAGTCAAAAGGATAATTAAACTTGGCTTTTTAAAAAAGATGCAAGCATCATGACATAGTTTCTTCAAGAGTCATTGCTGGGTCCCCTAGCTGCTGATGACCAGAAAGAACTGATTGCATCAGCAAGTGTCCATGTTTAAAACCACATGATTTAGTTTCAATTTTCATTGATCAAAAAAAGGAAAACAAATCTGTAAATTGCTGCACTGCACGAGTATTAAAACATCAGATCAGCATCAGAATATCAGAAGAAGGTTGTCTCTTATCTTCTTTCAGTTTATTCTTGTATCAGCAGTCACAGACTTTAAATAGGCCTCACATTTTAGCCTGTAAGATGTTCAGAAAAGTTTGAAATCATTTACACTTTGTCAAGGTCAATCAGTCATGTTCTATTGTGATGGCAACTTTTTCAGTGCTCCTTTAATGTAAAAAAAATACACATTAAAAAGATTCAGAAAACAGAACAAATGTTGAAAAAATGTAATTATTTCAGACAAATAGCAGAATCATTGAGTGGCATTTACAAGAGAACTTTGGTGACCCAAAACTAACTTACCTGAGATTTATAACATTAAATCTTCACCATTTGCAAGAAACTACAGGCAGACTGACAGATGTGCAATGAAGATCTGAGGGTAGAAAGGACTGGAGGCAGGAGTGAATGACACGTGGAGAAGAGGAGGAGGAGGATACGGGGAATGCAGTGTCGGACAGATTGACAGCAGAATGAGAACTTGAAAAGGATGACAGAAACAGAGACAGGAAGCTCTGAGAATGGATTGAAAAGGTGATCAAGTTGAAGGGTGGTGGGAGGAAAACGAGTGTGGTGCGAGTATCGCTCAGTCTCTGCCTGCTTCGTCCCTCTTCCTCCATCAATCAACTTCATGCTTCAAACGGGAAACAAATCCCCTTTTCTGCTTCCACTCAGCTCAATCAATAGCCTTATCTGTAACTACATGATGCTACTTTCGAACTTCTCAGCCCTGCATCCACTGTGGCGAGGAGGCTTATGAAGTGAGACCATCTCCAAGAGGCTGGATGACCAACATCCATAGGTGATGGCAGCAATCACATGGTCCACTTGCTGCACAGATTTAAAGATGGATCAAATCTGTCAGAAGGCCAAGCCTGCAGGAGGATTTATAACAGGACCAGCTTCAACCCTCCAACAATGCTAACAGGTCAGCTTTTGTTCTGCTTGGTTTCATTTTATTCAAAGCACTGCAGGATTTTGAGCTTGTGTAAATTAACCGTCGGGCTTCTGATTATTCAGATCTCACTGTGTCAGCACACTTCTCCTGACTGCAGGATGGATGAGCTGATTATAAAGGGTCAATGAACTGATTTAATGAGAGTCAATTAAATCAAAAAATGTACAAGGCAGGTTAATGTGTTGTAGGATGGAAGAATGTAGGCAAAGAAGACGGAAAGAGGAAAGAAAGGCGAGGAGGAAACTGGATCGCTGACGTTTTTACAACTCAACATATGAAAACTATAAAATACAAGAGGGACTTAAAATGTCAGCAAATCTAAGAAAATGCATTATACACATGACAATCTCCAAAATGCAAAGGTTGATTGAACTGAAATGATTTCAACTCTAAAATTTCTCCTGCGCTGTAGTGAAGAAATTATGTCTTCCATATATCTTCATATCATAACTTCACAGCTCTCTGAAGGTCCTGGCAAGTCAATTCAGTTCAGTTCAATTTATTGATTTAGCACCATTTCACAACAAATGGCATCTTAAGGTACTTGACAAAAGGTTGTTTGAATTCAATTACATACATTCCAATTGATTCGAATCATCAAACAATGTCTTAATCTCAAATGATTATTCAGATTAGTTAAAATCCAGCAGATTGCATGGAGTCATTGAGTTGCATCATTCACTCCTCCTGTTTGAGCACGTAGTGACAGTAGACAATCGCTTGCGTTTTGTCCCTCATAGTTAGCTAGCATCTAGCGACAATGGAGAAAAAAAAACACTCCTTTAACAGGAAGAAACCTCCAGCAGAACCAAAACCTGGCTCAGTACCTGCAATTAGTCTCAAACAGGTTGAGATCTGGGCTTTAGGCCATTGCAACACATTGGTTCTTTTCTTTTCTAGACTTTTTGCTGTGTAGTTGGTGCTGTGTTAGGGATCAACTACTTTGATTATTATATACTTCTTAAGATAAGCTATGCCATTGCTTCAGAACTTTTTGTTATTCACTCTGACACAGTTTTAATAACCAAACTCGTTCCGTCTCAAACCCTTCCGAAAGAAGTCATACTTAACTTTTTCTAATTGTCCAGTCATGAACTTTAACATCTGACAGGCTCACAAAGCTCTGTTGAGTCTGACATAGAACTTGTGAACTTTACTCCAATTTATTTGAGCATCATGCAGAATGACATTGAGGTAAATTTGTCTGTTGAGCAGAAGGTCTCAACTAGTTCTCACATGTGAAATAGGCCTCATAAACGTCTCCAGACTTATTGGCAGCAACATAACTACTGATGTCCAAACACCTTGGTATTGTGTTAATACACACTGCTGGTGCTAGAGCAGCAAACTGTCAAAACAACTGTTTCTATAATAATTAAAGCATCCATTTGGACTAAACGAAGCAAGATGCTAGTTCCACGGCAATCTTTAACACACAAGTAAATGCTGTGCTGACCAGATCATCTTTGATGTTATGATGAAAGTGAGTTTAATGTGTTTGATTAAAAGAAAATGATACTTTCATTAAAAATAATGGAAGCTGTGCAGACCAACCCATGTGGTTCAGCAGCTCAATGTGTTCCAGTTTTAGACTTGTAATCCTAAAACTGATAAACAAATGTGCGACTGTCGTGTTTTTTTTTTCCTGCCAAGCAACCTCGGAAAATTTCAAAATGTTCATTTTTGCACCACATGAAACCTGGTTTTAATTCAAACGTCTTAAAACATATTGAATATCTTTCTAACTAGAATGCTGTCCAGATTATTCTAAATTGTTTTTTTTTCATCTTTAACATTTTACTCCACATCCTTACCCTCACCCACTTCCCACCAGCACCCCAAACATGCAACTCAAATGGCAAACTGAAGCTGCAGAGCAGAAAAACAACTTTGTGCACACACCCTTTGGTTTCAAAATTGCCTACAAGTTGTTGTCAACACGCAAAGTCACGGTGCAGTGAGCACACAAACATGCACACATCTCTAAATGTTCTGTATGTGGCATCACTTCATGCAGCCATGCGTGCTTCACGTATGCACGCTAACCTGGTGTTATCAGAGTCGATGGTGTGAAACAGTTTCTCCAGCTCCTCCTCGTTCAACGTGCCGTCAGAGAAGAAAGCCTGGAACTCATCCAGCGACAGCTTCCCATCATCTGCAGGAGAAACGGGAAACAAAACCGCTTTTAAATTGTCTGGAGAACAAAGATCATGCATATCTAGTAGTGTTATGTCAGATTGGCACATTTTAAGAATTGCTTGCCAGTTTTCTGTATTTTGTATTTGCCGAGTTTTCCAAACGGTACCTGAAGGACTCTCAGCCCAGGAGAAATAAGATTCTCTGGTCTTTGTAGTTGAAATGACTACAAAAATCTTCATTCTTAGTATTTGTTTGTGACATTTGAGGAAAGGAATTAATTTTAAAATTTTGATTAAGGCTTTAATTACTTTCCAGATGCACTGTACAGTAAAACTTTACCATATTTTCTTGTAGCTCCAGTTTTCTTTAAAGCTTCTCACCGTAGTTAAAAATAGATGCGTTTTTTTTCTTGTTGGAGGATAAATAATTAAAAACGTAAAATGGATGCTGCTTCAGCCTCTGAAAGTGTTGCCTCTTTTATTAAGTCCCAGGGTCCATCGCTTTTCTGATCAGCAGGAGTTTTCTCTAGCTGAACATATAAACCAAAATCAATACACGTGTCCATTGACCTATAGACTGTGAGATATTGATCTTTTACCTGTATTAGTTTCACAGTGCTTCCAAATTGTAACCAAGAACATTTTGTTCTTGGTTACAACAAGAACAAAATGTTCTTGTTGTAACCAAGAACATTTTAGAAGTTTTAGCTTCTAAAACATGGAAGCTAAAACTTCCATATTTTAGCTTTTTCATATGCATTTTCAAATCTATACTTCTAAAATTGTCAATGTTTTTTCATCTCCAACTATGTCTGTAATCATGCATCCTCACAGTCAGCATGAGCTGCAGTAGGACTCCATCATCTACTCCAGTCTGCCTCGGCCTGATAGGAAAACATTGCTTCATGTCTGATTCCTTCATGCAACATCAGCTGATGGCAAGTTGCATTATTTCATTAACTTGCCATCTGCTGCTGACTGACTGATGAGCTGAATCTTTCTAAAAAGATTTTTCTGTTCAAGAAGAATCCTCAACTCTTCACCATTTTTACAATGCCTCAAAAGCAACACAGCATACGTTATAGTTTAATGCTATTCACCAGCTATTCACTACTTCACCAGCCATGAATTAACAAAAAATTCAAAGCAATTCCGGACCCTGAAAATTGAAAACATAAATTAAAGATAATTTAGACAGTCCATTAACTTCCTTGCTTTGCTTTTTGAATTTAGTTTTTAAGTTATGGCAGGTATTCTGCATGTCATTATCTGCATGTGTCAGTTATACTGTTGGCCTGTCTGTCTCTCCATCATACAAAGCTTCATATCAAATATTAATTTACTGTGCCATCAGAGTGAGTCCGTGGTTAAGTGCGGTTACTGGGTGCAGCTCTGGGAACGCTGCAGAGCTGCACCCAAAACCAGGAGGCTAAGGGCACTGCAGCTTTTACAAAGGACAGAGTTCATACTTGCTGCTCTTCAAGTCTGCCTCTTCTATTCCCTCTGCACTTTCTCAGTTGCACTTTTAAAACTGGTTTCCAATGTGATCTTCAGTTTTGGCAAGCAATACCCCTCCAGTTATCTGTCGTTAACAAAAAGCTGTGTACCCTCATTACTACACGACAATAAAACTCAACCTGATACCTGAAATGTAAAGATATAAGAAATTTAAAAAAAAAAGACATATTCACATTTACCTCTGAGCAAATACTAAAGAAAAACTGACTCCAGGTTAGTTTTTACTAAAAATAAACTGATTGTAATTTCAGGGAGAACAGAGTGCCTTCTTTTCTCTATCAAAATCACAACTCTTCATCTTTCCTCATTCTGTTCTTTCATCTTATTACAGATACACACGGCAGAGTATTTCTTAAATGTTGTGGCATGCTTAATAAGACAAAAAAAAAATCAGTTTTTCTTTAGTGTGCTTAGAGTAACCTTTAAATGACAGAAGGCGTGACTTCTGAAATGTCACTTCTTGGTTCCACAGCATCACTCCTACTGTGACTGTCCAACTGATGTCCACGATGTTTTCATATTCTGAGCCATAAAAAAAAGAAAAACTGGTGTTTAATGCAGCTATGACCCATTTTTGAGCCCCACTTTCCTCTACCAACACACCATGCTAACCTCATTTTACAAAAGCATAACACACTCCTCAATTACATGTCTGACAAAACCTACATCTTCCCTGATTCCTGACCCACTTTTTCTTTTCAAGCTCTTTTTGTCAAAGCAGCCGTACACAAATGTAATGTGCAACTTCCGTGTTCTCTGTTGGGAGTTACTCTTTTTGTATTCTCCTAATAGGACAGAGAGGCTTCAAAGGGCTACTGCTGAGCAACATCCATGGATAATTTCTGCAGCTTCCTCTCCTCCATGTCCTGGTGCTGCAGCCAGCATTCACCAAGCAAACCCCTCCATAAATAATGTACAACTCAGATAAGCACTCTGCTCAGAAATCACGCAAGTCACCATCATCAGAGGAGGTGATGCAACAGCATCCTGTCTCCGGCGAATGAGACTCCGCAGACTGGCATCGTTTGCTGAAACGATCTTTATTTTATTGTCCAAAAAGGTCCATCAAGGGAAATGGTTTTAATGCAAGGGAAAAGACACACTCACACAAATGTACCATACAGCAGCAGGGAGGAGACAAGATGCGGTGCAGGCGAAGCTGCAGTTACTGAAGGTCTTTGATTTGAATCTGCTGATTACTTACTTCTCAGCTGCAAAATTACTGCATGTTTTGATGCTACAATCAATTGTCACCATAAAGATTTCTGTCAAGAAATTTACCAGAGCAACTTATTTCTGGTAGCACGAGAGTTCAAGGTGATACCTGCCATTGTGATACCTGCCATTGTTAAGACAAAGACTGATTTGGAAAACAAACAAAAAACAACAGAAAAATCCAGCAAGGTTTCTTGATGTAGTGGCAAAGAATATATAGAAAGTCACGACTCATGTAGTGAAAGGAAGGGTCTTTTTCCTATTTTGGTGAAAAAATTGCAAATCAAAATGTACACTAAAGCTTTGCTCTCCAAAGTAGTACTTGTATGATGCACCCGCTTTGATATCCGCCTGCTTGGTTTTGCTTTCAGGAGAATTAAAGGATTTACAGCAACATTGAAAATGAGTCATGAATAAATGTAAAAACAAAATGATCATACTTAGTGGAGTAATGGCTGATAAATATTATACATATTTAGTGATAAGTATTTTTGTTTTATTGTCTGTATTAATAGTGGGAGATCCAAACTATTTTTCTCTGCATTATGTTAAAGCTAAATTGTTTGAAAAAAAATAAATAAATAAATAAAAGAAACCAACATGTAATTTATTTTATGTCAATGTAATGTACCATTAATATATTAATATAAGTATTCATAAACAAGTGTTCATGTTAGACTGGCTTGAAAGAAATGAAGGGGAATCTTTCCAATGCAGATTTGGGAAACACTGTGGAGTTAAGATGTGATACACTGATCAACAAAAATCAAAAACTACATACTTAAATACATTCTAAAGGTGTTTCAACAAAACATTAGTTTTAATTAGTCTGCAACCAGGTACACTGCTACATTTTATGTTTGCTTGTTTTGTAACGTTCCTCCTGAGAGATAATTTGTTTTAAGTTGGAAAATAAAAATATCACTAAATTCCGGCATTTCAATATGTTGTACACTTTTGAAAACTGGTGGGTATGAAACTGTGGTTGACATGGAATGTTCTTCTGTTTTTCTCTTATTTAAAGGAGACATTCACTTCTGCATACAACAACAGAAGTAATAAATTAAAAATGTATTTTGACAAAACCAGTATTGAGATGCTGATTTACACAATGTGAATCAAACATGCATATGCTTTGAGAAAATCTCAAAATAAACAAAGCACTCAAAGAAAATGCTTGTAAAAAAACATGAAAAGTTTTTAGACATTTTACTTGCACACACCCAATTCAAATCAAATCTTTTGATTTGTTCAGTCATTGAATCACATTATGCAAATTGAGACCCTTATTCTTTCTTTCATTTTACTATCAGGTACATAAACACACCACTTGTTTCATCAGGGCCCCTCAGTCTGAAAATGCCCCCAAATTAATCCCACCTAAAAACTTCTTTGTTAAGCCAATCATAGAAAAAGGCAGATCTGCATAACTTCACGTCTGTGGAGGAGCAAATTGCAGGTGGTGCAAATGCCAGGAACGCACCTCATCATTACAAGGCTGCCTAATGGCACCGTATCAGTCCAGAAGAGGTTCAGGTTCAATTCATCTCTGTAAACATGAGATTAAACGCTCCGCCAGAGCAGCTGATTTCATTCTTAATGCAGATTGTACCCTTTTCGGAGGTGAGGAGGTGATTTCCGTTTTCCTGAGGGAAAATTGTTCGACAGAAGGAGAAAGTAAACTCGCTGCCAAGGCTTCTCCCCCACAGTGAAATGCTTTTCTTAATACCAAGGTTCCGTAAAACGACGACCTATTCCATGACTCCTCACAGGAATGATGCACTTGCTATAAAAATTGTTTTGCTGCAAAAATCTAATTTTGGTTTAGGGCTCGTAAGTTTTAAAAGGACGGCTGTACGGCGCTTCCTTGTAGTTACTTGCTTCACTTTGTCTTTTACGTCGTCATGTACATCATCATTGAGTTGCCGTGATCAGTTGTCATGGCAACTCAAGGGGGAAACTGACCCTGCTTCCAGGCTCAGAAAACAACCATCACTTTCTCCATCTGTCATCTACTAACACATTTGTCGTACTTCTGCTTGTTTCTGAATATCTGGCTCCCTCCACTTGTCTGCTTAAAAATAATTATTTCTTGAAGGGATACGGGAGGGAAAAGTTGGAACAGTTCGGCTTCTTTTTGCATTAGCTGGATTCAAAAACACTAAAACTGCACTCAGATGTAGCTAATCTGGTCCTTGTTGACAAATGAGTTCATCTGAAGCTCACATTAAATCACACCAACTCCCCTGTCAGGCTATTCACAGAAACAGCAGCGTGAATGAGG